ACCAAAAATCTTTTTTTTTTTTAAATATAATTAAGACTTACTTTTCTTAAATACTAGTTATAGTTATATTTCTACACAATAAACCACAATTCATTTGGATTTACCAAAACCATTTAAAAATTAATGACATCCATAAAAATGTCATATAGAAATTATTTTACTGCCGTAGCCACTACATAAAAAAACATAACCTTATGAGTCACAAAACATAATTAAGCTTAAAAAATAATATTTAACTAAATAGTAGGAATGTTCATTCAAAGTTTTAGTATTAAGGTCATTTTAATTCTCAGGTAAATATTAAAAAAATCATGGTTATGTGGTTTAGACAAGGATTTTTTATTATTAACTAGCTGTTCCCGTGCGACTTCATCCGTATAAAATTATGAAAATTTTATTTTATTGTTTACATGTGTCAAATTATCAATTGTAAATGTCAAAATGACATGACGATGACAAACCTTGGGAATCTTGCTTCCTTGATGTTGGCAGCAACTTATGGTTTCTTTCACACATTAGGGTTTTTATCCAAAATATTTACCCCCTAAGTTCAATGGCGTGAAAATATACAGCTTAAAGCATGACTTAAGAGTAGGGCTTTTTATTAAGAAGAATTATTAAAAAATATGCTGTGATTGCTGACATCTTAGGCAACAAAGAAGTGTGTGTTTACGCTTTATTATAATAGGACTATAGATATAGATATAATTCAGACTCTTCACAGGCATTCATTACCAATTTACAATGTCTGATATATGACTGTTATTGTTTTCAACATATTTTAAACATCAGTGAAAGTAATTCCTTATTTATACCAAAAGGTCAACGTATTTCTGCTCAGAATGGTAAGCGAAGGTTCAGTTAATACCATACATGTAGATAGTGACCAGAAGACATTGAACTTTGACAATGAACGTCATTTTAGTCACATTTATTGACAGAATACCTGTACTGTGACATTCTTCCAGATCCATCTAATATCAAGCAACTGTCTAAAAAAGAGGTTATATACGAGAGAGAAGACAATCAGAAAAAAATCTGTCTATCGTCTTCCCCGTTAAATTATTCAGATCATTATTCTGCCCTTTCTCAGGGTCGGCACAATCTATCAGCCGAAATATGTGCAAATCTTAAGCATATCCTCCTTGTATAATATACCACTAATATATACTACGGCAAATATTTTGACTTTAAACTATACTGTGCTCACTAGACTGGATAATATTTATAATCATATGCAAAACAACCGTCAGCAAAAGAGGTGTTAAAGTGTAGAAGTCAATACAGCAACCGTATCCATTGGTTTTCGGCAATACCCATGCATTTTAGTACACCGGAAATGATGTTGATAACTTCACACAATGCATCCATACATCCTTCGGCTTTCCCTACCCTTGTAGCATTCAATCTTAGTACTTTTTTGACCGACTTCCCTAAAGAAGGAGGTACTCAATTCGTCTGTATGTTTTTTTTTATTTTTTTTTATGTGTGTTACGGCATAACTCCGCCGCTAGTGGACCGATTTTGACAATTCTTTTTTTATCCGAAAGGTGATGCTTGCAGGTGGGTCCCATTTTTTTGTTTGATTTTTGGAGTCAAAGACTACGACGTAGTTAAATAGTTTAGCTCAAAATCGCGCGACGAAATTTAGGGTCATTTTTGCTTTCTTTGTTTATTGCTCATTTTGTCTTGGCGATAACACTAAATAGCTATAAATGTACGTAAAATGTTGCATTTTACAGTTTTTATTGACATCCTAAATTGACCAATTGACATTTTAATTTAAATAATAAGAAATATGAATCAATTAAGGAAGTCTAGTTGACAAAATGACTTACATATGCCCTTGATTAACTTTAGTTTTTCTCGTATGTCGGTACTCTTTGATCTATAACTTCTTTTTATTCCAATTAAAGGTTTAGACAACTTAATACCCTTGAAAAGGTAAATGCATTTAAGGATTAAGTTGTTATTCGTTAGACATTTTTTACTTAAGAGCGGGCGCACACCTTTAAGTAAACTATTCCACAACTGTTGTGCGATTGTCGACTGTCGATTGTTTCGGAGCCCATTCAACTGTTTAGTTGCACAACTAAAGATCGTATAGTATGCGCACCTCCATGTAAGATTATAGGAATCAAGAAACTAAACAGTTGTGCGATAGTTTAGTTACAAGTGTGCTAAGTACACAAATAAAACAAAAGAGTTCTGGTCTTACAACCTTATTGTTGTCAGTTTATGTTTATAAAAATATATACAAATCTTAATACTAAGAACTAAGCTCTACTTACATAAAAACTTTAAAAGAAATATGAGAATAAAAGAATTCAACGCAATTTAGTACAAAGTTTCTGTTAGGATACGACACTCGTATTAAAATGTGATATTGTATGGATGAAATTGTTATCTTTTATCTGAATTTCCGCTGCCGAAAGGTTTCTATTAAATATCTTTTTTTTTAAATGTAGCAGTAGAACTTTCCAGTTGACTAAGCAATAGTTATGGATAAAATAATTTTAACACTTCATATAAAGGTGGAAACCTATTTCATTTATCGAAATTCATTTTATTTTGACCTCTGATATAATACGAAACAACTATACAAGATGAATCATTTCCAACATAAGGGCATGCATACACTAAACCGGATATTGAAATCTTTAAATTCAACATTAAAAAAGTCGAAAAGTCTATCTCAAACTCTTCAATATTTTAAAGACAGCGAAATGTGTACACCACTTTAAAAATAAATTTAAAGACTTGATATATAATTAAAGTGTATGTATATGTATATGTAAAGCCGCGATAAATAAACACGACTGTAGTATTAAAGTACTGTAAGTGTGGTCAAGCCAGCTACAGCCTATTGGCAGGGACGTAACGTGAACTGAAGCCTTCTAACGTGAAAAATACTCCTCCAATCAACTTTAGTGTATACCACGCCTTAGCACGAATACGAGCAAGACGTTTGCACTATGGTTGGAATTATAGTCTAGAGAGATTTCTAGTTTTTTAAATTATCGCTCATTTTATGAATACAGAACAATTTTGTCGGTCTAGCTAGCTAATAATTTGCTTAATTAAAACTTTAAAAATCGTATGCGTTAATCAGTGGAAATTTTTATTTATTTAAAAAAAATCGCTTTGCCAAGGTAAAGACAGAAGATGTGGGAAATAATTTGTAGAAAATCGAATACAGTTAGCATATTATTATCAAATGTAACTAATATTTGCATTCCAACTGAGAGTACGAATAGTTGAATTGCGGGATTCGAACCCAAAACCAGATCGGATTTTCGTACACTTTTAGGCTATTACCAAAACGGATTAAACAAGATGCATAGTTGAAAATTATACGATTCAATGGATCGATACATACCTTAAAAGTCTGTAAATACAAAGCAATTTTGGTACTGACACTGGCTTTATTTTATAGACGTATGTAGTTGCATTGAAAACTCGCTTAATAAGTCAAAGGTCATAAAAGAGCTGTTAATTTCGAGACATTTATTTTGGAAAAGGCTACGAATAAGGATGTTGAACTATAAGAAACACGATTACTTTGCACGCAAATATTCAACCAAGTTATATTCACGCAAAAAAAACACTTAATTATAGTTAACACGCTTTTACCCGAAATTCCGTCAGCATGGAATTAAAAAATGAACCTTAAGATGTCATCTGCCAGATTATATTCTACATCTATGCCAAATTTCACCGTGGTCGGCTGAGCCTTTTTTTCTGAACGAGTTGTCACCGTTTGCCTTGAGGCTTGTGCTGGCCGAACGCGGATGGAGCACAGCCTGAGCCGTTTTGGAATGACATTTTCTAACCATCCAGCCATCCAAACATTTGTATTAATATCAGTAAGAAGTAAGTAAAACTCAAAGACCGTAGTTTTTATCTTTTTGATGAAAATAATAGTGTCTGTTAACACTTATAAGTGAGAAAGTGCGTTATATTTTTTTTCTGTTTCAATAACGTGTTCTAAGGATTCGTAATAAAATAGTAATAAATCATCGTAATAAAGACGAGTTACGGATACTTTGTATCCGGTTTGTATCAAGACAATATAAACCCACACAACTTAGTGCTACTCGTATATTAACTTACCAATGATACAAAAATCTATTTTACTTCAATATTAGTTTGTTAATAATTGTTCATATGCTTTCCTAATCTATTGATTTAAACAATAAGGGTATTTTAAGGACCATAGAGCTTAATACTCTTTGTAACTTTTTTGTTTGAACGATCGCATGCACTTTATTAATCAGTTCAGACAATTGAATTTACTTGATTGTAAGCATAGTAATGTTATAAATATGTAAGTTTAGATGAATGGAATGCTAGAGTTTACCACCTAAACAGCTAAACGGATCTGGATGAAATTTAACTTAGATGTAGAGCATAGTCTAAGCCACTAATTATTTTTTTTAATTCCACGCAGACGGAGTCGTGGGCAAAGGCTAAACTATACTAATTTTATAAAGAGGAAAAATTTGTGTTTTTGGATTTTTTATTAAAAATTCTTTCACCGTTATAAAGGTAATTTATCTGTGAGTGACATAGGCTATATATTTTTTTTTAATTTCACGCGGACGTAGTCGTGGGGAACAGATAGTCTATACTAATATTATAAAGAGGAAAGATTTGTATTTTGTATGTATTGAAATAACTCAAAAACTACTGTGCTGATTTTTAAAATTCCTTCACCGTTAGAAAGGTAATTTATCTGTGAGTAAGATAGGCTATGTTTTATTTTTTTTTTAATTTCACGAGGGCGAAGTCGCGAGCAACAGTTAGTAAATAATAATTTTAGTAAAATCCTTTGTTACAAATGCCTAGTTACAATTTAAATTTGATTCCGCAAAGTGCAAGTGCGTTGGTTCTCAAAGGTATTGAGAAATGGGCGAGAAATTTCTCGTTACCGGTTTTCGGGTACCGACTTGTGCGTGACATAACCTTGTTATTGGACATCGGTTATCCGGCAAGGCATCTTCGTGTCAGGTATATAAGACAGGTCTTGCCGAGCTTGCGACAATCGTGTAGACAGTTGCCGACATAGCAGTATGATCGCGCTTTGGGTGCGTATTGTGTTTTTACGTATCGAATTATTGTGTTATACGACATTTCGATAACTTTGTTTCAATTTTCGTTATTAGATTTGTACTCGAGGGACGCGTCCGCGATTGGTTTGCTCTGCGAATTCTTAATAATGTGACCTTTTTTCGTTAGTTTGTATTACTTCGTTTTTTCAATTTAAAACTTACTTTTAATTTAATTGGAATACATTTATGTTATTTGTTAATGACCTCTCAAATAGTTATACTATAATGTGATTTTTTTTTGTTGATATCTTTTTGAAAGTGGTTTACATGTTTCGGGATTTTTTAAGTGTTAGTACTTAGTTTTTTATACGGATATCTGAAAAGTATGTATTGTAGAAGTATTATTTTTAAAAACTACTTCTAACTATGAACAAAACGTCGATTTCGAACGATTATCAAGTAGTCAAAAGTAGATTGAATTCGAAAATTCACGTAAAATAGTAAATAATCAAATCAACCTTGTAATCTTTACCAAAAATTAATTTCAATGAAACGGTTTAAAAAAATTATGTGTATATTTATAAAAAATAATTCACACTATTTGCTAATTCATTGAATCACAAAAAAATACACAAAAAAAAACAAATGTCACTCAACCGCTAAATATATTAACATATGTTGATGATAGCCTTGGATATTCAGAATTACCTAATCCACAAACAGTTCAAGAAAATCCCAATTCACAAGTTTTTTTTTCATTTAAATAAACAATACTCGACACTAAGTAAACACACCTTGATGTTAGTAGCAATTTAAGCTTTGACTTAATAATTACGTCATGAAGAGGATATAACTATGAAGTCTTCATTATTTTTTTTTACTTATCCAAATTATCTGTACCAAAAGTGGAATGTTGCATTTTCCTGTTATTTTATTACCTAAGAATATTAAAAATCATTAAAACGCAACAATTAAATGTGGCATTATATTTTTCTTATAATAAGTGTCCGCGCGGATTTTAAAAAACCTTTTAATAAATACGTAGCTTATGTTACACAGTGACAATTTAGCTACCTAATGGTATAACTTTTAACTGTGCGGTTAATTTTTTCAAACATACATAAAGTTTGAACTGAACTGTTCAGTTGTAACTGTCAGTTAAAACTGAGCCAGCTTTATAGGAATTATTACTTTTATCATTTGTAAATTACCGTATTTTGCCAATTTTTTACATGGCTTTTTATTTAATTCTTTTGCATAATATTCACCAAATTAGACTAAACTTGTTTATTTAAAAAAAAAAAATTTCTTTTCTCATTCCTTAATGAATTCGACTCGGACGTTTCGATTGGTGCGAAAAAATCTACATTTGTCTTGATAATACATTCCAATCAGAGTATCTATTACGAATATTTGCGTGGCCGTTTTCGGAACGTCATCAAAATTCGCATTAGAATTGTACAGCGCCCCTATCAAACGTAAAGTACGCCAACAAATCTCGTACAAATTATGTCTACGTTACGAATATGTTCTTTGCACTGTCACACTAATATTCGTCATAGAACCTCAACCTTGGTGAGATAAAATTTGATGATATAATTATGATAACAAAAACAAAGTATTAATGCTGGCGGCGACACAAAATTCCTGTCTATATGTCAAGGTGTGTAAACGGTGACCAAATTACTAATACATCCAATAGTCAAGGTGTCTGAAAAACTTTTTATATTAGGTTTCTGGAATTTCCACTTCCAATCTAGCGATTTGTAAGCGTTTGGTTTACCCATATTTCAACGGAATAAAATTCAAAATACGTAGTTCGGAAACGCATTTTATGAAAAACTAACGAATATTTAAAAGTATCTCGGAAACCGGTCATTAATAACTTAAAAGTGCTACATACATATAACATGATTAAACAATTCAAATAAAATGACAGATTTTTTTTTCTAAGCAGACGAAGCATGACGCAAAAGCTAGTATAGCAAGCTTTTACCTTTTATTCTCTTCAGTGAACATTTATGTTAGCTAGGGTAAACAGGTGCATGCATAATAGATGTAACTACGTCATTTCATATAAGACTGAACACCCACGCTCCTTCTAAAGATTAACAATTCCAACTATAAAATTATATTATACTAGCTTTTGCTTGCGACTCCGTCCCGGCGTATAATAAAAACAATGCCTTTGTTATGCACTAATGCCGTAGCATTTTAATAATGAAAGAATTTTTGAAATAGGCCCAGTAGTGTTTGAGTTATTTCAACACATAAAAATACAAATCTTTACTCTTTATGATATTAGTATAGACTTATATGCTGCATGATAAAAATATCTTTCGTTATATCTTATAAGTCTCTGCTCGTTAATTATTAATATGGTTTAACTACAAAACACGTATAAAATCATTTGAAATCCCTCTTTAAAAGTTATGGTGGTTTTGGTATAAGGGTTCCAGTAGTAAAAACTGAACTGAACTGTGGTAGTGGAAAAGTCCTTATTAGTGGTCTAGGGTGAGTGGATATATGCGACGCGAAAATGCACCCCAAATTTTCTTAAACTAGTGGGTATCTACATTCGTCTCATGATTGGAAAAATAACATATTTGGTTATTACAAATTTGTACAAATTTTACGGGATTTATTTTTCAATGTATTTTTAATATAACCGTTATCTACATAATTAATATACTTTATTATAGTATTTTTCTCTATTTATATTTTGAGCATACTACTGACATTTTCGAAACATGTGGGTAAATAGGTAAAATCATTTATCTATTTTATGTTTGAAAATTAAACACACAAATACAATATATGTATAACATTTCTCGGCTCTAGTAACTATGTAAAATCAATGTCAACAAGATAATTAAGAAATTGTGAATATGCAAGTATCTGTTCAACCTTATTTATAACATTTTAAAATTTATATTAAAACATATTTATAACATAAATTAAGTTTACATATTAATTCGGCCATGTAAAATCGTTAACGCCAGCTCACTATATGTCCCCACTGAGGGGGCCTGCCTCCCTAAGTTAGGGTGACTAAGCCTTAGTCAAGACTGTGTTAAATAAATAACGAATTTTAAGAAATAATAAATAATTTTAAAGAACACAACTTTACTTCCATTATTATAGTCCAAACTTTTTTTTACTGCATTTTTAATAATGCATGAGTTTGTTACAGCGAACTTTGAGTGTATTCAATTTTGAAAATTAAAATTTAACTACCTTTTAGCTGCGATTCCGTCTTCGGTGTGTTCTACGTCTGTGCTAAATTTCAAAAATCTTTATAATATTAGTACGTACTAATAAATATTTTCAGTGTGAATTTAATATTGAGATAACTTTCATAGTGTTCTTTGATAGTAAGAAATTAAATTTATATAAATTCCAAATCAACCTAACCTATTAGTCATACTTTAACGAGAGTTAATCGTCTAAGCATTGACCTTTGTCCGTATAACTGTATTTAAACCAGTTGCCTATTACAACACAACTCATAAAACTAGTGTATGCTTGTTAAGTTGGCTTACAAAAAATAATAAAACTGACACATACTTCCTCTGATCCCGTTTTATAAACGACATATTAAAGTCCGCGAAAGTTATCTGGCCCGAGTAGCCAGGTGTTACTACGGTTCTTGCAGAAATTAATAATTTAAACTAACCCTAATTTGGATTAAATTAAAAAAATAAATGTTAAAAAATCGAACCGCAGCGCTATAATTAAAGATTGTTCAATTTACAATTCAACATTCATACATCAACAAATTTTATGCACTCGAGAAAGCAATAAATAAAGTTTTATGGACAGATTTATCGTTGGAAATATTACCAGTATCAACTCTATAGATTCTAGTATTATTATTCTCGAATGATATTTCAGTTTTAGATTTAGAATATTGCCGGAGCCGGTTCTTAGAAATTAATTGATTAAAGGCAAAATAGGATCTGCTGAGGATCTATTTATAAATAACCATGAAACTCCCACAGAAGTGTCTAGTGAAATGGAAAATGGGTTCTAGTTTTTATTACTAACTACATTCGATATGTATGCATAGAATCAGCAGACTTTATATTGTTCTGCCCTTTTTTATTCTACTCGTGTAAAAAAAACCAAATACCCTTAATAATAAAAAACGTTATTATTCCTTGCGCATTTAATAATTGCTAAACCCTTTAAAAATAATATCTACCACAGCAGTGTCTTCTAATATAGATGAATAGTTAAATATCGCCAACTCTATTCACACAAATCGATAGCCGATGTACGTTCTTAGTTTATTTACGATCCCATAGAATTAAATTAGTGAATGCAAACGGCCTTGTAAGAAAGTGGTTAGAGGTCGTCGCCCCCTAGAGTCACGGTCACTGCTTGCGCAACACGGTCAACGAGAGGCATCTCAACCTCTTATGTAACTGACAAAACTTGCCAGTGCACGGATTATGTCGTCACACGCCTATCAGTAATTATAAGTTACTAGCGGTGTACCTCGCAGTGTTGCACGCATTTATTTTTAATTCTTCACGCCTAAAATTTTCTACATTACAATTAGATGTTTATTTTTCGAGATAATACGAGAGTCCAGTGGTTGTAATAAATAAGACAAGCGTTGCCTATGAATTTGAGAAACGAAAAATATTGAAGCTAACATAATTTTTTTTGTTATAGGTTTTAGCTGTTATCGGAGTGGTGGCGGGTGACGTGGGTCTTGGTTACCACTACAAGGTACCGCAGACGTCGTACGGCATTCCCACGTATCAAACCGGCTCCAGCAGCGGCGTTTATAACACTGGTCTGAGTGGAAGCACCAGCGGCAATAACTACAACAGTCAATACACTGGCACCGTCGGTGCTGGTTCCAACTATTACACTGGTCAAGGTGCCAGTCAAAATGTACAAAGCTCAACTGTCGGATACAACAATGGTTACCAAAACGGTTATCAACCAGGAGTCCAGACTACCGGAGGTTCATACAATACTGGATCAAATTCGAACTATTACCAAACCTCAAGTTCCGGTGTGGTAAGACCCACTTACCAAACTGGAGGCGATTACTCCGCTTTCAACCAGTACCAAACTTCTAGTCAATATCAAACATCGGCTGCTGACAAGTACCAACAATACTACAACGTTATCCAACAACAACCAGCCCAAGTATTCAAACATTACTACGTTCATGCAGCGCCTGAGGAACCCGAAGTTCCCAAAATTCGCCAACCCATTGTTCTACCACCAGCGCAAAAACACTACAAAGTAATATTTATCAAAGCACCAGCGGCGCCCGCACAAGCTCCTCAAATCATTCCAGTTCAACCGCAGAATGAAGAAAATACTATTGTCTACGTGCTTGTCAAGAATCCAGAAGAAGCGAAAAACATTGTCATACCAAAAGTAGAACAGAAACCCCCAACTAAACCAGAAGTTTACTTCATCAAGTACAACAATAAACAAGATTCTCAGGTGATTAATGACATTGTTAGCGACTTAAACAAGGGAGGCTCTGAAGCAGGATATGATGCACTTTCAGACGAAGCTGGTGCAGTGTCTGGAATAAATCAGGGAATTGTATCAACCTCTCAAGTCGGACAAGGCCTGTCACAGAACCAGGGTGCAAGTTCAGGGTTTGATTCTTCATCCCTTGGCTCAACGGTATTCGGATCTGGATCATCAGGATCTGGTGTTTCTAGCTCCTTTGGTACTGTCCCGAGTACCGTTGGTACATTCGATGCAAGTTCGACTGCAACCACAGGTACTTTTGGATCAGGTCTAACTGGCGGTGCTAACTATGGGTCGACATTCGGATCAACATTCGGTTCATCTTCGAATAATTTCGGATCCGTTTATGAAGGTGCTAAGGGCGAAGGTCTTAGTATTGCGTCTGCTGACACTGGATCCTCCCAAAATGGATACGACAGCTCATCGGGATCTAGCGGATACGAGACCTCGTCCGACTCTAGTGCATACGATGCTCTATCTGGATCCAATGTTTCTTCAACCGCCAGTACCCTTATAAATTACGACGCAAACGCAATTTCAACAAGCCAAGGTGTACCTCATGAGACTTACGGACCGCCAAAGTTCAAAACTCTGTAGATTTTAATCTTAACATAACTAAATCGACTCTCTTATTTTAAGTATTTTTGAATAATAAAAAGGAAAACATTTCATATTTCTTTATTATCTTTACCATCCTCACAAGTCTCAAAATTACATTGGAAAACTCCCAAACTTATACAAAGTTATTTTAAACCTCAAGATAATATATAGAAAAATTATTTGTACTTTTCTTTGTATGTAGCGCACTAGCTCAAACACAAGCGTACCGATTTCAAAAACTCTTGCCATCAGAGTACTACATTATCACTAAGTAACATTAGTAATTTTTAATACTTGATTTTTGTTTATTCTCCGCGGACGTGGTCGCGGGCAAAAGCTAGGCATAGATAAAGCTGTCGTCGTGTTCAGCTATCACATTACTAATGGATTAGTTCTTTCACAATACCCTATTGTTGTTAAAGTTGGAAATAGATTCCACCCGTCACCGCCGCGACGGAGCGTCGTGTCGCGTCGCCCACTTGCTTACCTTAAGATAATTTATAAATAATCATATACCTTATTAAAATTGTAATTAAGAAGAGACAATATTTTTTTTAATTCATATCATTGTTATTTAAACTTTCCACAGTTTGATAGCTGTTAAAGAAAAGATAAATATTTAGTAGCAGGTTTTTGATTGTATCCCACGCTAACCTAACTAACGATTTGTCTTTTACACCATAGCAAAATTATTATTTTAAGTGGCCACTATTATTTGACATTATAAGGGCATAAAAAAGATTAGTAATAAATCGTTTCCGCTCTCACCGTAGTTAAGGTAAGCAAACACGAGTAGACTGCAATATTAAAAAAGTAAAGACAAAAATTTTAATGGAACATGTACAAGATCACTTATGTTATTTTGTTAATTCCATACCGATATACCTCCATATACAAAGAAAATGTCGCAGGCGGTGAATCGCGTGGGCTCTAATTTTCTTCTTTCAAGAAGCCCACGTCCAGACAGGAGAGAAATAACTAAGAAATAGAAAACCGTTTATTATAAATTTATGCGACTTTAATTCAGGGCAAGCAACGCGCTGAAAGCTTTCAATGTTCATTGAAAACGTTACTCGATGTAAATGGGATCTTAATTATGCGGCGCCGATATTCCTGGCCGTGGGCGGCGGGCACCTTCGCTTCGTCTACGTACCAACTACGTCATAGCTTTATATCCAGGCTTCTTCGCTATCAGGTGATTGTAATTGAAGTTGGCAAATGATTGGTATTTTAATATTCGGTCCATCCGCATAACTTCGCTGCGTTATCGCGTATTCATTTGGTTCATTTCGATTCAATCTCACTACCCGGGTGGATGGTAATGGCAGGCTGATATTATGAATGGGCGTTATTTATGAATGGCGGGTCTATTTCAAGGCGATGGCGCGTGACGTCCTAATGACGGCTAGCCTGGCGCTGCTGGCTCCATTGAGCGGTGCCGCGGTATTCACATGCACTTTTGTCGGAGGCCCGCGGAATGCCGGCGCCGGCGCCATCTTGATTGTTCCGATCATTCGCCCAACGGGGATCGAAAGCCGAGTCACTAGTGTAACCATCATTAAGTAAACAAATCAATAATCAGCAGAGTAAAGTTTTTTCTTTTCCTAAGTAAATATATTTCGTATATGACTAAAAAAGCAATTAGTTCTAAAACCTTTTATTGGAGCAACCAGTTTCAAAACAAATGACTTCAACTTATTAGTACGTGTTACAAAAATAGTTTTTCTAAACTCCAATAAAAAAATCCCAAACACTTTTGATATTATGGTCGTCCTACTTAGGCGCCGGGATACGCGAGCACTATCAATTGCCCTTCACTCTTGAAATCAAATCGCACAATGTTCTATTTATAATTGGACGAATATATTCTGGAACAGTTATCTATGAAATGCATTATTTATTGAGAAAAACATGACATGGTAACATTGAAAGTGAATATACATTCCAAGTGGAGCGTCTTTGTGGCGTCTTGATATTTTGGTATGTGGCATATTATTTTTAACGTACAATTCCATTGATATACCTAACTATACCACTTGTACAAGCGTCAGTAGTACAGTAGTTAAGAGTCTGATCGGCCCGAAACGTGAAGCCAGGTTCGATCCCCGCTATTTAGTCATTTTAATTCGATTTTCGAATGTCACGTGTACATCAATTTAATAACGTTCATAAAATTGGTTCTATGTGAACCTAAACCGTAAGGTTAGGACAACAGAATATCGATTTATGATCTAAGAAATTGTATAATATAGAATAACTGTATTGCATTTAAAAATAGTACCTAATCAGTGGGTCTTAGTTTCAATTAATTACTAGAACGTGTGTGTTTTTCATTTAATAATAAAAAAATATATATTAAAAAATAAGCAGTCTTTGAGTAACATCAAAGCTTACTAAAATGAATACCGCCTGATGTTTGTTGCAAACGAACTTCAGTATGCCGAGCATCCGAGCGCTAATTAAGAGGATTGTAAAATCAATAGTCGAGAATTCACTTTGACGGGATGGAGCTCCGACTACATAAGCGGCTTGCGAGAGTTGTTTTATTCCCTTTTATGCTGATGCAGGAATATTATTTCTTATTTTTGTCGATAGCAGATATGTCTACAAAAGCCAAAGAGGAAGAACACAAAAAGTATGCATCGATTTTGTTAAGGGGGATATGCATAAGAGGAGAGTGAGTGAAGTTATGACACCTGACAGAGATATATCGAAGAGCAGTATATACTGTGCCAACCATCCGAAAGTACGACGACCCAATTTTAACTTCATTTTCCATAAAAGGAAATTATGTCTTAAGTGTTTTTCTCCCGTGTGTGCCCGTGTTAAGGCTGAACGCGGTTGGGCGACCGCCCATGGCGCAGTACAGTATGGGGCGCCAAAGTCAGCGAATTACACAGCCTCATATAAGTCTGTTACTCCCCCCCC